CAGGGACTGATTGAGGGATGGGCATGTGACCCGCTGTGGTCACTGAGGTGGGAGGAGGGACGGACCTTCCAAGGTGCTTCGAGAGTGCCTTTCTTTCTCCCTTTGTGAATTACCGCATGTAGATGTGAGGGCTGGCGCTGCTGGAGCCATGTTATTACCACGAGGGAAGCATGCCTGAAGATAAAAAGGACAGAAAGAGGGGACTGAATGAAAAGGACAGCGAAGTGCTGAATTTGGAGTGCAGACTGAACCATGCCTACCTCGGGATGTTTGTAGTGACTTAAACCAAGAAGTCTCTTTGTTGTTTAAACTTGTTTGAGTTGAGCTTTCTGCTGCTTTGAGCAGAGGCATTTCAACCGACATGAGTGAGTTAAACACAGGTGGTTAGGACTTACGGAGGGTCTCCCAGATCCTTTGTTATGTTAATGAGCACGGTTGTACCATTTCCTCAATTTATTTGGCTGTGAGTTCTGTTTTCACAGTGTGTCTCACAGCAGAAGATCTAGTCTGACTCCAAAGTTTTACGCAAGTATAAATAGACACCCAGAGATTTAAATGGCTTTTCTAAGCTATTACATCAATGACGCGGGTTTGAGCTGTGCGGGTCCATTTTATACATGGATTCCTGTGCAGTTCAAAACCATGCTGTTCAAGAGCTGACTGTATTAGTAGTTAGTTGAAGATCTAGGCCTACAGGATAGGCTTCCTGACTCCTAGGCCTGCATTCTCACTTCAAGATCATACCTCCTGTCTGCCCAAAGAGGTTAAGAGGCTCTCTCCATGAAGATAAATTTCAAAAGAAGAATCTAATTATTCTTTTGCAGAGACCAGATTCCTAGGAAACTATAAAGCAAAGGTTGCAAACTAGGGAGCTCACAGGCAACGTAACTTTATGTCAAATAAAACATGTCTGAAGTATTTGAAAAAAAAAAAAATCAATCCATTAGCAACATTTAAAAATCAGGTTGTTTCAAATAAAAATATCAGTTCTGGCTCCTCGAATAAAACTCAGGCTATCCAGCAACACTAGGCCTATATGGCATTGGACAAAGTAGGTTTATAGTTGTTTGTATGGAGAATTAATTAACAAGTAATTAATAAGTAATACAAGAATCAACTTTGTTCTGTGCTCTCACAACTATAAACCTACTTTTGCCCCACCCTGCATGTCCACATGATGACCAGCTACCACTGAGAGGCCATCTCTGCCTCCTGAGATAAGGGCAAGGCTTCCCCCCACCCTTTGCCACAGTCCCAGCGAGCTCTACGGCACCCTAATGCTGACGCCAAGTGTCAGCTGCCATTTATAAGCACGCACACACCAATATGGCTTCCCTCTTTGTATCCAGTCTATTTTATCCAATTACCTTCCAGTCCCTGTAGTCAATTATTTTGCTATGCTGGAAAAAGTAATAAATATTGACAAATATTTCTAAGGTTCAGTAAGTCCAACACCACTGAGTGAATCAATGATGAAGAGGTTTCTTTACTGGGCACTTTTTCATAGTCCCTAATGGGCCATGGGGTCAGGAGGGCCAGCATACATTTTTTTTTTTGTTTGTTTTTTTTTTTTGGCTATGGATGTCTTTTTTTCAAGATGTCTCTTTGTCCCTGTTATTCCACTAAATACACTTTGGGAAATACTGCCACAAAACCCTGTAATGTCCCTCTCTGCCAGTAAGCCTGTGGCCTAATGTCTCTTTTTGCTGGGATTGTTACCAGCTCAGCTTTTTGCTGTCCTGGAGGTTATTTTAAGGAAAGAACTACAGCAGCCCAGTCTCCGTCAGGCCAGCGCCCACACGGGCCAGCACCCCGCACAGGCCAGCCGTGGGCCGATCAACACTGACGTTATCCCGGAGAACAGGCCCAGCATTGTGGGACGCTCCGGACGGAGGATTTCTGGCTGAGCAGGGAGAACAGGACCAGGCTAGCTGAGGTCCCCAAGCATTCTGCCCCAAGGAAACAGCTTCCTGGCTCACTAGCTTCTCTGAGGGGGAAAAAAAAAACAAAAACAAAAAAAACAACCCACAACAACAAAGGAGAAAGGTGGAAACAAAAAGTGATGGTGTGGATCGGTGGCAAGAGAAAAGCGATGCTTTCCACAAAACCATTCTCTTCAAAGAAAGCCATTCGACCCCCACAGTTATGTCCCCTCTCTTTATCATTCCTTATTCACAGGTGAGCAATGACTAAATCTCAGCTCTAGCTTGTGCCAACAACATTCAAGACAATTAGGCCAAGCGGAGAAACCAGCAACCACAAACCCAAACTAAAGCCTTGTGATTCAGTTTCTTAGACGCAGGGGTGGCCCAGAACGCAGAGGGTGGAAGCTCATCTGAAGCCGATGGAGAGCAAAGGGCCTCTCTTGGGGTGACCTGGAGACAAATGAGTCACCTGCATGAGACGCTCCCCTGGTGACAACTTTCCAGATGGAGTTTTGCTCAGAAACCCTCTCGCCAGGCAGCTCCAAGGGGGTCACCATCCCCCTCCTGAGGAAGAGGACTCTCCCTTGACAGGAAGCAGCTCCTGCTCACGCAGCTGCACTGCAGCACATGCCTTGAAGCGAGAGAGACCAGAGCCGCTGTGACTTGTGCAGAATTAATGTTGATAAAGTCAGAGTGGAAACGTCAGCCAGACTGCTCCTTGAGTGAGAGGCACATTGCCCAGATTTGCCAAGATGTCACGCCCTCCCTGGCTAGCAAGCCCATCATCTAAGGTGTCTGCCTGCTGGCCCGGAAAGCGCTCAGTCAGGCAGCCGATCGGTAAGCCCAGGCTCCGCTGCCTTCCTGCCTTCCAGCCTGTGTGAGCGGGACCAAAGCTGAGAAACAGGATAACTCTCTTTTCTTCCCCTCTTGACCAAGAGCATGTCCTTTCCCTAACATCCGAGACTGGTCAATTGTTCTTTGGAACCCTTGTAAAAGAATGACGCATATAAAATAACAAATAATGTGGCAAGACAGGTGGTGTGCAGTTTTTGCTTTGGTTGGGACAACATCAGAGAGGAAGCTTAAGGACAGGCTTGATGATGGACTGAGTTTCACATTCTAAAAATAAAGCCATCACAGCTTATGTATTGAGCTGACATTTATTTTATGTCCGGTATAGTGTTAAGCGCTTGCCAAGGATTATCTTGGGCAATTACAATGACTACCCCAGGAAGTGTTCCGATTTTATGAATGACAAAGCAAGGCTCAGAGGGATTAGGTGAATTGCCTAAGGTCACGTACTTCTCTAGTGGCAGAGACAGTGTTTAAGCAGGCGGTGGGTCTCCCATGCTGCTTCTCCCAGTACAGCCTCCACTAGTAGGTCCCCAACAAACAGCGAGGCCGCCTGCCTGGGGGGGCCTCCAAATATGCTCCAATATGCTCATGGCCCACAGGATTAAGAATACATGAGAATTTATGCCAAATGCTTAAATACTAAATACATTTGAATCAGTAAAGAAAATGCCATATAATAAAGACCTCCTAATTTTAATAAAGTACGGAGCCAATCCTCTATTTTTTCATTTTCCGTGTTTTGGTTTCAGACCATAATCTCCACTGTGAAGAACTGAACAGCTTCCCTGAGATACAATAATGTTCTCTCCCTACTCATCCCTTCTCCACACAGCAGCTGTTGTGGTAGCAACCACCAGCAGGGCAGAGCTGCGCCCACAAGACAAGCTGACTGTTTTGCTTTACCTGCTATAGACGAGGCATTCTCCGTTGTTGATCAGTTTATCAGATTTGTACCTCCGGAGGTCTTCCCAAGCATCCTTGATGGCAGTGACCCCCAGGATGATACAGATTGGTATCAGGTTCACCTCGGGCTGGAAAGCATTGACCACGGGGACAAAATTCAGAATCGCAATGCCCACAAAATAGACGTTGGCAAACCGGTGCAGCTGCTCAAAGATGTTCTTGGGTACGAAGGACAGCACAGTGTACTTGCTGGTCTTAATTTGATTCCCACAGTAGTGTCTGTTGGGGTTCTCTTTGTGGGACCATCCTTCAAAGGGCAGGTTGGAGACCACCACTCGTTTCTTGTCTTCTTTCTTTTTCCGCCTTCTCTTCCCTTCCTTTCTCATCTCTGCTCAATCCCGTCTCTTTAATTCTCATAGGATCGCGTGTGAGTTCCACGGAGAAGAGGTTTTTCCCTGTTCAGTTCCATGTTCTGCAACCAGCATGTCATGTCCCTGACATCTTTTACCTTCTCTCTCTTCTGGAAATTTCTCTCTCCTTTTTAAAGGCAAATTAAAAATAAAAAGCCAGTACACAAACACCCGGGGAGAAATCTAACGAGGAAAGAGCTTGCAGAGGACAGGTGTGCACTTGCTAGGCCACTTCCTCCTCCTTGCTGAGGCTCCACCTGTTGGAATGCAGACGTCACCCCCAGGTATCTTTCTTTTCCACCCTAGCAGCTGAGAACAGGTGTGCGAACTCTGGGTCCTAAAACCTCCCTGGTTAAGTTGTAAAAGCAGGGATTTTTAACTAAGAGGCTCAGGTGCTTGAAAGATGGCACTCATTTGCTTGTTTGGGAGACATTGCCTGTCACCCTCCAAAGCTCTGCTCCTAAACTGGGTCTCCTGAGATGACTCAGTCAACGCTAGCATTCTTGGTCCTACTCTTAATAATACAACATCCTTGTGTTTAATTATATGCATGTTTACACAAGTTAAATAAAGGTTTCTAAGTCTCAACACTATTGACATTTTGGGTTGGATAATAACTGTTTGTTGTGGGGGAGTTGTCCCATATATTGCAAGATGTTTAGCATTATCCTTGGCCTTTACCCACTAGACTGACACCAGTAATACTCTCCTTCCCAAAATAGCAATTTAAAAACATCTCCAGACATTGTCAAATGTCCCCTGTAGGGAAAAATTGCCCTGTTTGAAAAATCACTGAATTAAGTGAACTCAAGAAAATACGTGGGAAGACAGACCGATCTTTTGAAAGTGCTGAAGAGTCTGCATAACCTATTTGCAAGAGAGAACACAGAAGAATGGTTCCCCTTACCTTTCATATATCTGGATGCGGGTGCAGTTTATCGCTCTATCGAAGCGGTATCTCTTGAAGTCCTCCATGCCATCCTTGACCATGATGATGAACAGCACGGTGGCCAGTGGTAACATGGTGATTTCCCTGTGGAAAACCTCCATGGCGGGCATCCAGTTCAGAATCACCAGGAGCAGGAAGTAGAGGTTGGCCCACCTGCAAGGGGCAAGCGAGGTAGGAGTGAGCATCCTGGAGAAGGAAACACACTCTCCACACTAATCCTTCCCTACTCTCGGCCCTTCACGAGCTAAAATGACATTTCAGTGTCACCTCGAATCATGGAAAGAGCTTTGAAACCAAATCTATCTGATTCAAACTTGGTTCCTACTGTTTATGAATTGTGTGACCTTTCCGAGTGTGTTCTGTCCTGTGTAAAACGGGAATAGCATTGCCTATTTTAAAGGGCTCTTCTAGATAGTCCACGGCGTCATATTTTTGTAAACAACAGAGGGTTCTGGAGCATGGTAGTTGCTCAATAAATGGTATTTTATAATAATTACAACTTAGGCTGATATCTAAGTGCATGTTTTGCTTTTTAATTAAAAGACAACTTTGCATATATTGTCTTGCAAGAGTGGCTTGCATTTTTAAGTTTTCCAAGTGCATCTTGCTTCTCCTTGCCACAGTGCCTTTGCACATGAAGACCCATCTGTAGAAACATTTTCCTGGCTCCCTTTCCTGACTCCTCTCTGCCTCTTTTCACCTACTTAATGCATTCTCTTCTTTCAGATTATACTTTAATCATCAGTTCCTCCTGGAAGTCTTCCCTGTCTTTCTTAACTAGGTCAGACTTCCCTCCTGCTCAACAGCACCATATATCTCTCTTTCAAAATATCTATCTGAATTATAATTTATATCTATTTATATAATTTGTAAAATTAATGTCTCTTTCACTGGACAATATATTCAGGACAATCTCTTTTGTTTTCCTCATGTATTTCTAGAACTCGACACATGGTCTAACCCAGAGTAGAGTGTTTATAAATATTTACTGAATGAGTGAATGAACGACAGGGCTTCTCAGTGTACATACATTTGGATACTTAAGAAGAGGAGGCTCACAGGGCGCCTCTTGGAGGTTCTGTGAGTGGCAGATGTCTGGGTACAGTGAGCTTCGCTTGGCCAAGTGCGTGTGTACCTGTGAAACTGCTCCAGGAGATTCTGGGGCAGGAAGGTGAGAAGGGTGTACTTGGTCGTGCAGATTCGGTTGCCGGAGTATCTCCTGGAGGCCTTTGCCCAGTCTTGGTGGAACGTATTGTTGTTGGGGAACACGACCCGCTGCTGCGTCAGGTTGTAGCTCAGCCGCCCCTTCTCTGGGGACAGCAGTGGTGTGGCTTCTGATGGACACTGCAGGTGGTCATCCCTGAATCGCCACTGCCACCGGTGCCAGGATGAGTCCACTGAGAGGGCCATTTCCCACAGCAAGCTACGGTCTGGAAACGGACATGAGAAGTCACTAGGGTCAGAAGAAATATGTAAATATGTGTATGTGGTATATCAGCTCATCCCTTTTCCACCTATCCTTCCAAGGAGGATCCTGGGATACAATGTGAGAAAAGTAGGTTCAATCCCCATCATCCATGTTTGTCCTAGGGTGAGAGACATTGAGCGAATAATCGTATAAATAATACACAACTAATAGGGGACTAAGTGCTACAAAAGCATTTAAGGAGGGGGTTCTGAATATAGTTGTGGCCGCCAGCCTGGTGGGCTGTGACCACAGAGGTCAGAATTCTAGCTCTGGTTCATCACTAGCGCTGAACTGTCCCTTCACCTGGCTGGTCTTAGGTTTCCACACAAGGTTTTTGGGAGGAACAAATTGGACAGTACGTAAAAGTACGTTGAGACATGTCTTAAAGGGAAAAGTATTTATTCGTTAGGTTTTCTACAGCTCTGAAATTTTCTGATACTGATGATATTCTGGAGAACCGTATTTGTGGCCAGAAACTCAAATGACAGTGATAGGCAGGACAGAGGAGAGAGGCTCCTTTCTAGCACATTAGCGCCTGAGATGACTGGGACGTGCTGTGTGGCGTTCCAGGAACACCAGCTGGCTTTTTCTGACCTGGTTGCCTGGGGCTGGGGGTGGGAGAGTCCTTCCTTTCTCTCAGCTCCGTTTGAGGGTTTCTGAAACTGTGCACTTGTCAAGCAGACGATTTCCCTAGATGGTGGGTGAATGAAGCTTTATCCTGGATATTTCAGTTTCTGAGCTCTTTCAATGAAAGCTATAAGCAAGTCCTTAGGTTCCTTTAAGCCAAAGCTTGCTTGAAGACCCAGAAGGATATTATTCAAAGATATCCTTTGTAGTTAGAAGTTGTATGTAATGGTGCTTCTTACCTAGTAGGCTCACAGGATGATTTTCTTTTGAATAAATGGATGAGTGAATGCCAGCTATTATTAATCTTACAATGAGCTAACCCTTCTGTCATTGTAAATATGATTCACTTAAGGAGAAAAAGTCCCATTTCTAGTTTAAATGGTAATATTTTCCCTTCCTGGTGCCCATGTGATCTGACCCTTATCATAATTCTCCTCATGACTTTAATCAATCCAAATGATTTTCAATCCACAGATTCCAAGGCTATAAGAAGCTATTCAGAGTCTTAAGTGAGTCCTTGTAGCAAGCATGAAAAAATAAATGCAATTACAGATGCCCATCATAATGTGACCAAAAGCAGTATTATGACATTTGACAAGCCAGAAATGATATTGTATATCTTTTTTCTCATTGCAAAAAATATGCCACTTTTATGGATTCTTTTTTATTGTAAAAGAAAAGGAAATGAAAAGATAATTCATGAACAGAGTTGAAAATGCAAATGAGAAATACTGCCTTGGCTGGTGCCGTATAAATGAGACGTCTCATAGCTGTAGGTGACAAGATCTTCACAAATGAAGAGGTTGCATTGATATGGAAGATGCAGGTATTTTAGGTGGGGTGGTTTAAAAAGCCCAGTTATTATAGTTATATATTCTATTATAGTTATCATAGTCTTTATTAACAGTGTAAAATAAGCTTCCTTAAAAATAAAGCAGATATAAAATGGATGCCGGACTAGTGGATGGGAGTTTGATGAGGGACTGGACATTCCCATAGTTTCAAAGTATCTTCTCCCCAGTTATTAATTACAATGGTAAAAAGAATCACTTTGTAGTAGAGAAACCTGGCAGGGAGCACCTTACCCAAAAGATCCAAGCAAACGTCCCCAGTACTGGGTGGGGTAGCTTGCGCTTCCTGATACGTACGATGTACTGAGAAGGACATGACACTACCTTTCTGGCAGTCACAAGGAGACACTGAACAACCGCAAATTGGGGGCTAGCCTACAAATCAGTGAGCTTATGTTTTTCAAATGTCAAAGGTCAAAGAAGGACAGAGGACTGTGGCTGATTTAAAAAGACTAAAAAGAGATCACAACTACATGCAATGTGTGGTACTGGACTGGATGCTGAACTGGGCGGAGATAAAAATAGGCATAGGACATTATTGGACCACGGGCAAGATTTGAATGTAAAAGCAGATTGGGGAATGATATCTTACTAATGTCGAATTTCCTGATTTTAATAATTATATGGTGGTTATGTAAGAAAATATTCTTGTTCCTGGGAAGTCCATGCTAAAGTAGGTAGGGTAAAGAAGCAAGACATCCCAGTGGTTCAAAAAATAATGTATATATGTGTATGTGTGCATCTGTGTGTACCACAAGGTAGTAGAGTCAGAAAGACTTCCTGGAAAAAGGAATATTTATTTTCACAGTCACCTGAAGAACACATCCAAGTTAGCAAGGTAGGGGGTTTGTGAAAGGTTGTTCCAGGTAGAACTATTTCTAGGAAGAGACAGTTCACAGGAGTGCCCTGTAGAGTACACAGAAGTTGTGGACAAAGTGGCAAAGGCTCAGGGAACAGCCTTCATAGGTGGCGGTGCCGCAGGAGGAATCCTGAAGAGCCCTAGGGAGGGAAGGGAGCAGACGAGAGCTGCTTTGGCCCAAGCACACAAGGACAGGCCCCGGGGCCAAGGCCACGCCAGAGAGGCAGCTTCTTAGTCTAGGCTCCTACTTTCCTCCAAATAAATGACTTCTTTCCAAAAGTAGAAAAGGAAATGAAGGGGGACTGTGTAACGCTTTTATCTGAGGTGCGGTTTATTAGTGCTTTCAGGGGGGAGGGGCATGCCTGAAGAAACTCTCCAAGCCCCTCCCAGTTGTAAAGTCTTTCTCACAGTTTTTGCAACGGCACCTCCCATTAACGATAAACTCCAGTTTTGCTTGTACACACTTGGATGATTCTGGCTTGAAGTGACAATCCTCTCCAGCACCAACATCATTTTCCTTGTGCAGAATGTCCCCTAGATGGTGGTTAAGGGGACATTTCTCGGTGGCGGACCATTAGCTTAACACACTGGGTCAATTATAGATTGCTGAGAAACCCTGTTCTCATTCCCAAACTTCCTCTGTCCTGCTTTCCAATAAACCCCAGTTCCTTTCTTTTTAAAAATATTTTTATTTATTTATTTATTTATTTATTTATTTATTTAGAGAGAGGGGAAGGGAGGGAGACAGAGAGAGAGAAACATCAATATGCAAGAGATACATTGATTGGTTGCCTCTTCCATGCCCCCAAATGTGGACCTGGCCCGCAACCCCGGCATGTGCCCTGACTGGGAATCGAACTGGATACCTTGTGGTTCACAGGCCAGGCCAAGGGCACTCAATCCAAAGAACCATACCAGCCAGGCCCTTTCTTTTTCATTTTAATGAACCTTAATAAAACCCATCATTAGCAAATTCCATTTGCACTCCTATGGGTCAATTGACCAGTCAATCATTGAATCAACAAGTAGCTATTGAATGAACCCTGGTTTTACACCTAGTGAGTCAAACCTACACATCCACCCCTGTCTCCCTGAAGCTTACACTCTAGTGAGACTGAGAGATTTTTAAACACATGCTCATAGAAATAAATATATATTTACTGTCCAGTAAAAGTGCCAGAAAGGAGGATGGGTGCAATGTGCTTGCATTACAGAGGGGCGCGACCTTGTCCCTGAAGAGGTGGGGCTTGAGCTGAGGTCAGGGGATGAGTGAGAGGTAACTCGGACCTCGGTGTATGTGCTTCTGTGTGTATCTGTCTGTGTTGTGTGTCTATGTGTGTGTTTGACATGCAGTATATGTGTATGTGTTGTGTGTGTGTACATGTGTGTCTGGAAGCAAGTGAGCATCCCAGGAAGAAGTCACATTTGCAAGCTCTCTGTGGCCAGAGTAAACATGTTGACTTTAAAAATGAAAGAAGACTCAAGTAGGGCTAGAAAGCAAGGATAAGTGGTTACTCAAAAATTATTTTCCATTCAAATACGGTTATCTAAAAAGTTCATCAGTTGGTCAGGACTACGGGGGAAAAATACCTATGTAATTTAATCTACACTTGGATTCTTGATAAGTGGTACACTATCCTGGTTTTCGAATTAATTAAAATCTAAAAAAGTTTGACCCTTACCACAGGGGTTTTTATATCACTCTATCTTGAGGACAAAATATATAAATCTCGCACACAAAAATAAAAATGATTTCTTGTTAGACACCTAATTAACAAACAATAAGCACCTTAGAAGAAACCACCTGAAGTTAGTGTAATCAATCAATTATATCAGTTTTGCTCAAACTGAAATCATTCGTGAGTCCCCTTTTTCTAATTTTTGCCATATCTGAATATAATTTATTTCATTAAATGCAATATATTTTGTCAAATTACTTTTTAGAAGCTAAAATATCAACTTTGGCTTTGTGCTAAAGCATTAATATCTACAATTAAGGGATGTGACACACTAGTTTTTTTTTCCCCAGTGGGTACTAATGGGACCTATTGTTTTGTTAAAATAAAAACTGTTGTCCTGTTATTACAACCTTGTTCTAGATTTGCTCTCCTGAGGACCAGGTTCAGAAACATCACCAATCGTTCAGAAAGCATCAGTCATTTTTCATTATTTGAGGCTCACCTACAAATGCACAAAAGGCTGCTAACAAGCTTTTGTTTGTTTCCTACAGACATGTCAAGACAACAGTGACAAAAGGTCTTTATCAACCCTGAACTAAATAAAACCCCAGGGAACCAGATTCCTATCCGTTCCAGAAGCAGTCTACTAGATCAAGGAAAGATTTGCACTAAAACAATCATCATCAATTGCATATTCACTTCACCTCTTCTACTTATTTTGATTAGATTTGCTTGAGGAAATGGCTACTACTTTATGAAATTTTGTACCCATTTTACCCATTCCTATTTTACAGATGAAGAAACAAAGTGAGGGTGACAGAATAATTCCTCTCTAGAATCTGTCATTTCTTCCTACTTCCTTTAAGGAAAATCTGTATCTCCTAGAACCCAAGGTGTACTTCCCCCCAGCCATTTTAATGTTTTGATCCTAA